CGGGGTGGGCACATGGGAGGGGTGTTGAGAGAGTGCACATTTCCCAGCTACCTTTCTCCTGTGAGTGGGAAGCTTGGACTTTGGGAAGGTGACATCAGCTCTCTTCTCCTCCAGGTCTCCTGAAGAGCTGGGGTGGGCAGAGCTGGCTTCCTGTTGGGGCCCAGCCCTAGGGGTAGCTGTCACCTCCTGGATACCCTGGGGGTTGGGCTGAGGTAAGCAAAGCAGAGGTAGAGGCCTGGCAGTGGCCCTGGGCCTCAGGTGTAGGTGTGGGAGGGTTCCTGGTTCCTGCTTCTCCAGCTCTTAGTACAGTGCCTCATAAGGGACAGAGTTCATTAGGGCTGTCTCCCCTGCTGAGATTTTCAGGGAGGTCAAGGGGCCCTAGCAGGTCTCTGTCCACAGCTTGGGTATCGCTATCACATCTGCCTTCTGATTGCAAAGGTGGAGAAATTGTTGCATTGGATCTCGCCTTGTGTGTCTAGTATTAGAAAGGAGTCTATATCGGCATCTACTCCGAGGGAAAACTGGAGTCACACAAGATGAGATGGAGGAGGGGCCTTCCTGCTGGCCTCCCTAGGGGCTTGGCACAGTCCTCTTTACTCTTTATAGAGAAAACACTTTGAGTGGATTCCTGTGTGTTGTTTCAGGCATGCGGACATTCTGGGGTTCTCCCTATCCTCACCTGAAAAGTGAAGATTATTGAAAAAGCTTACACGTTTTCTGTGTGCTTTGCTGTATTCATTAAGGCATGTTGTCACCTGTATCTAACAACCCGTGGGCACCTGGGGGAAGGGAGTATTTCATAGTAAAATAGACAGGAAACTGTTTGGAAAATGTAAACACGTTATTAAACGGTGAGGTATGATCTGATCCACTTATTTAACATAGGCAGGTCCTCCCTCCCCCCATCACCCCTTGTAGCTTCTGAAACACGCACAGAACGCCCGTTTGCCCAAATAAAGAAGCGAAGAGGGCCAGGGGCGACTCTGGAAAGCCATGGAAGGGAGTAATGAAATGCCTTACACTCACCCCTCTTTTGTACGTGAGGCTCCCTTCTCTGCCCTTCCTTCTACCCAGCAACAGCTTGCTTCCAATTATTTAGAGGCCAAGGCTTTAATTGTTTTAGCCTAAAACATGAGGCCCTGCAGCTCTTCATCGCCCTCTGGTGTTCGTTTCCTGCCGTTTCTCAAGATCCGTCGTGATAGCCTGGCAATTGCCAGGGAGAGCAGGGAGAGGCTGAACACAAGAAATATTTAATGTGATGTGTGGGGTATGGGGTCGGGGGGGGGGGGCGGGCACGTCTAATCAGTGATACAAGGAAAACAAGGATGCGCCTGACAAAACCATATTTTTGTTGTTTTTCTTAAATTATTTAATTTTCCTTTCTTGTTAACTCCTCACGAAGTCTAAGATGTAAAGAATTAGGGGAGAGAGAGAGAGAGAGAGAGAGAGAGAGAGAGAACAGAACTACACACAAAAACACCGCCCACAAAAAAAAAAAGAGAGAGAGAGAGAGAGAGAGAGAGAGAGAGAGAGAGAGAGAGAGAGAGAGAAAGTAGGCTAATCTTCCAAAATAATCTGGCCCTACAGTACTAGGGAGAGAGGAGCAAAGAGGGCGAGCGTCCCCTTGTTTATCCCGGCTAAAAAGTCAGAAAGACATAAAAGGAAAATGAAGTGAACAATGACCACCACTCCCCCCAACCCCCCCCCCCGCGCTCACAATACAATCTATTTAATTGTACTTCATACTTTTCATTCCAATGGGGTGACTTTTCTTCTGGAGAACCTCTTGATTCTTGAACTCTGGGGCTGGCAGCCTGCAAAGGGGAAGCGGGCTGCCGCTCGGTGCAGGTTTTGCAGAGGTCTCTGTCTAGTGGGTGTTTTCTTTTGCTTAGCCCTGCCCCTGGATTGTCAGACGGCGGGCGTCTGCCTCTGAAGTTAGCCGTGATTTCCTCTAGAGCCTGGCCTTATCTCCGGCTGCACGTTGCCTGTGGGTGACTAATCACACAATAACATTGTCTAGGGCTGGAATAAAGTCGGAGCTGTTTACCCCCACTCTATAGGGGTTCAATATAAAAAGCCGTCCGAGAGCCGTCCGAGCCAGACGCGTTCCTGCACCGGCTCTGAGAGCCCGACCTGGTCTGCGCTGCCTTCCTCGCGCACCGCCTCCCGGGCTGCCCGCGACGCTTTTGCTCCGGTGAAAGGGCCACTAGCAGAGGACAGCGCCGAGATCTCAATTAGCAGAGGCGATCGGAGCGACCAGACGCCATCCTCTTCGATTTGCATTGAGTTCCATTTGCAATCGAGTTTTCTTTTTTCTTCTCTTATTTTTTTGATCCCTTTGCAGAATGGATTATTTTCCCGTGATCTTCTCTCTGCTGTTTGTGGCTTTCCAAGGAGCTCCAGAAACAGGTAGGCACCACTTGTGAATCTTTCTGCTCCAACGCAGCGCTGTTCTCGCTTCTGTTTTTCGTCCTTCTTTTTTATTACTGCAGCTCGAACAGCAAGTGCCTTGCAATTACTTCTGTGTCCCAGTAAAAGAAATAAAATACAACCTACTACAATAGAATACCCCATAGCTTCAAAAAAACGTTGTAGCAATATTGCAGAGAAGCTACAACTGAGGCAAAGATATATTTGAAAAAACGTGTGTTTGGGGTTACATGGTGCATTTAGGAGCTTATCCAAACGCTGTCTTGATAGTGTGTTAATGTGTAAAATATTTAAACACTCCAGCTTAAAGCCGAGGAATTTTATTCAGGTCATGCAAGCACAATGTGAGCAGTGAAATCACCTGCCGATCAACCGTGTGCTGAGTAACCCCGCAGGCGGTTTCAGGGCGAAGCACATGTTTTCTTTAAAATTTGTCACTATTGACTTAAGGTTTCATTTGGCAGATTTTTGGCATCCTCAAACAGTGTGAGCTCTATTTTCAGTTGTATTCACCTGTCCTGGGAGGGGAGCTGGGATCATTCCTGCCTGATTAAGGAATTAGACAGTATGGGCGAATCTGCTTGTTTCCCCCCCCCCCCTAATTTTATTGGGTCAGTGCCCTTTTTTTTTTTTTTTTTTGTCTTTTCATGACCTTAACCAAAGAGAAGGGATGCCAAAGGGCTGAAACCCCTGGAATGTGCCTGATCTTTTGAAATGAACAAAATCAGGCAGATAAGCGGCAGGGCTTAATTTTCAATGGAAAGGGAAGATGCTGTATTGAGCCAGAGGGAGGTGTCATGTCCCATGCAAGCCATGCTGCCCCAAAATTCTGAATTCTGAACCCACAGAGCACTTCCCTAGGTCCCCGCGCTGTAGCTTTGCTTTCTTCCTTGGCAACTTGTCTCCTATGGGCAGTGGCCTCTACAAAAGTTAATTTCTCTTCTGTGTCTAGTCATTTTCTGGGTATTCTGCTTTCTACCTAATGCCAAAGGCACCCATAGGTCATCTAGACTACTCTGTGCCCCTGGGAAGTAGTAGTTACCCCTAAAGGAAAGGTTATCCTGAGTAGGGAAGTGGCCTCAAAGCTGAGAATAGGCAGTCTATCTTACTTATCTGTGGCCACATGCCAAGTTAACTCCTGTGAGAGCTGTGCCATCCTAAGTCTCAGGCGTGGGCTCCCCCAAGATTCCACCAGACAGCATCCCCTCCAAAGCGCCTTCAAAAGCCTGGGAAGTCCTTTCCTGTCTCCTCTCTCTCTCTCTCTCTCTCTCTCTCTCTCTCTCTCTCTCTCTCTCTGTGTGTGTGTGTGTGTGTGTGTGTGTGTGTGTGTGTGTGTGTGTGTGTGTGTGTGTGTGTAATCTCCCTGCAGGTGAATAAGCCAGCCAGGGAACGGGTGAAGTCCCATTAAGCAAGGAGAACAAAGAAAGCCCTTTCCTTCTGTTTGTGTTTCTGGCTAAAGGCAGTTGTACTCCTTGTCTGCTTCTATTTGCGCTGCTAGATCTGGCCTGAATACTATGATGCAGGTGTTCTGGACATCAGAGAGAGACCCATATCAACCCTCTGTTTCTCTTCACAGCCGTCTTGGGAGCAGAACTCAGCACCCGGGCTGAGAATGGAGGGTACAGCCCTACTCCTAGCACATCCTGGAGACCCCGTAGGTCCAAGCGTTGTTCCTGTTCCTCCTTGATGGACAAGGAGTGTGTCTACTTCTGCCACTTGGACATCATCTGGGTCAACACTCCCGAGTAAGTCTCTAGAGGGCATTGTAACTCTAGGCATCTTTGACTGCTCCGGGGAGCTCTGGGCTTTAGCATTGCTGAGGACAAGAAAGTGCCTCCCAAGGGGGGATGATACTGAGATACATCAGCTTAGTGTTAGCCATCTAGGAGAGGGCTTTCTGAGGTGCTGGGAGCCAGGCTGCTTACTGTAGAACAGATGGAAGGGCCTGAGGACAAGCAGGAAGGTGTTGCACATTTCAAGACAAGAAAGGAATAGAGGGACTTAGCAGGAGGCTCTCACTTGGGTTTTCAGGACCTAATAGTCCAGTTTCTGTGTAGGCTAGTCTACCCTTTACTTCTCCAAGGGCCACATTGCCATCTATTCCAGAGGAGAGATGGGGTGGTGTAATAGAGAGTTAGAGTGCTTTTGTTTTACTTATGGAAAAACTGAGAGACAAAATGTTGAAGTCACACATGAAGAAATGAGCTGGTAGCAGGGGCAGAGCAGAGTTCTGAGCTTCCAGCTTCTCTCCTTGTCATTAGAAAGCTTCATTTCAAGGCAGAGACTGGAGCACAAGCTATAGGTTTCCCTTCTCCCTTTGAGTGGACCAAGGGTATTTCACCCTCGGCCCCCAACACTAGTCCACTCATCAGAAGCAATCCTAAGAAAGAACAAACACATTTATTCTGTCCACAATGGCTGGCCAAATTCCAAACCAAACCAGACCCAAACCGCTGTGGACCTAATCTTTAGCTGTGGTTCTACCAAGGAGAGGGTGACATTCCTTGCTGTGAGAACTGAAGTGGATTCATTGCAAGTGCTTGGGTAGCATTTTGGCGCTAAGCCCTTCATACTCAGTGAGATTTTACCAATCTTGAGGAGCACTGTCCCAGTATGCCTTGATGCACCAGATAGCATGTCTGGCATTATCATCACACATGACTGAAGTAGAAAATCTTGTGTTATGGTTTTGCTTCTGCCCCGTAGTTTTCCTTCTTCCACCCATATCACGTGCTAGAAAAGGAAGAAAACACAAAGCAGAAACCCAAACAGAGGTGTTGTAATTTCATTGAATTAGAGAAAAAAAAAAAAAGAAGCTTGTGTTCTTCCATTTGGGGACATTCACTGGGGGGCACTGAAGGGTAAACATGCCAAATAGCTTCCACACTTTCCCATCATGAGCTGTCCCAATGCTGTCAGAGTTGTATGACCAAAGAATGTGTTATTATAATAAAGACTATTAATTAAGCTAATATCTTTTCCTTCTCTCTTTCTGTATTAGGCGTGTTGTTCCATATGGACTGGGAAGCCCTTCCAGGTCCAAGCGTTCCCTGAAGGACTTACTTTCTCCAAAGACCACAGACCACGGGAATAGGTGTCAGTGTGCTCAGCAAAAAGACAGGAAGTGCTGGAATTTCTGCCAAGGAGGAAAAGAACTCAGGTGAGCAGAAGCCCCTCTACCTGTCAGAGAGTTGTGCAACCCACTGGCCTTCTTCCTATGAAACTGTCTTTTCACTGTAGAGACAGTAGCAGAGGCCTGGAGAGTCAAGGTGAGCCTCAACGTGCCCTTGCTAAAATGCTTTCCCTGTGTGTCTTAACCCAGAGCCCAAAACACCATGCAGAAAGGCTTAGAAGACTTCAAGAAAAGAAAAGCCTGTTCCAAGCTGGGCAAGAAGTGTATCAACCAGCAACTGGTAGAAGAAAGAAAAATAAGAAGGTAAGAGGCTCATGATGACCACTGGCCCTGGACAGCAATGCTAATGCCTCCCTTCCTAGTGGGAAAAGGCTCTTGTACAGGACCAAATTGTCGTGGTCTGTGGACTTAAAAGAGCAAAGGGCTCTTCAAATACTCGGGCCTTGAGTGCAGACACCTGCCCCTTGTGTCTTAGCACACACTGGCCTATAGGTGGACCACACTGAGAGGAGGCTTTGGAATTTGAACATATCCAGGCTTTTCTTCTCTGGTTTTTATGTTCTGCTTGCCTCAAGAAGCTAAAAAATCGGGTCAAGGAAAAAGACATTGAAAAATATTTACATGTATTACCCAAAACGTAGCAGTTAATTATTCAAATGGCCAAAGGAAAATAAAGCCATTAGGTAAGGTTGGTGAGATTTAGAACATGCTGTTTTTCAGGTTTATTCCATTACCATTGCTTAAATATGGAAATTGGAAGAGCCATGCCACTTCTCTTGCTTCCTATGACCCAGGAGAGAGCTGGATTAGGCAATCCCATAGGGGGGCTACAAGAAGCTTTTTGATGATCCTTACAGAGTCTAAACTTTTGAAACTGAGAAGATGGGGGTGTTAAGGGACTCTTGTTCAGACTTGTCACAATGCTCCTATCTCTAGAAGCTTTCCCAAGAAATCCAGGGGCAAGGTGTTCTGAGACCAAAGTGTTCTGATCCCAGTATGGCATCAGGGAGGGACTGCAGAGCTGGTTACTGCTCCTGTGCTGGAAGGCCACAGTTAGCTCCCTTCACCCCTGCCACCTTGGGTTTGCTCTCCACTAGGTCACAGTTGCTGAGTTACCTGAAGACCAGTACCAGTTTGTTACTTTGTCTGATATCAACTACTAACTTGATGCTACAGTTCTTCATCTGTTCTGTCTCATAAACACACACACACACACACACACACACACACACACACACACATTAAATTACATTAAATTATACATTTTCAACTGTTATCAACTATTCCCTTATTCTTCTTTCCATCCACCTGCTAACTTCCATTTCTTATATGATTTAGAAGGTGCCAATGTGCCACTTCTCCACAGAAGCAGAGGTTGGAGCTGTTCAAACATAGTATTTAGTACCAGAGTCCTCTTAGGCTGCTCATAGGATCCCTCTCTGCAATACTAGGCAGAAATGGCAGGGTTTATTCTCAGTAGTCATAGATACTGCTTGAGGATTTATCAAAGAGTAACACACTGTCACACCTTATAAAAGGCTAGGAACTAGAATTAATGTGTTTGTGTCAAATTCTAAATTTAGATGTTTCCTTAGCCAAGGAGTGATTTCTTTCTTTGTGTATGTGCTTAAGTAACATTTATTTTCTCTTGTCTTGTTTTAATAGGTTGGAGGCCATCACCAATAGCATCAAGACATCTTTTCGTGTTGCAAAGTTGAAAGCTGATCTCTATAGAGACCAGAAGTTGACACACAACCGAGCACACTGACTACCGAGCTTCCCTGTGTTTTGGAAGCCGTCAAGTCCATAGAGCAAGCCCATGGCCAACTCTGCACTCTCCATGCTGGCTGGGTTCTCAAAAAGAACATCCATCCCACTTCTACAGTTTCTAGTTTCAGACTGGCAAGGGACCAGTATCTCTGTTCCAAACATTCCAAGAGAGGTTGAGATGTTCCCCAACCTGTCTTCATTTGCTTCTGCTGGTAGTGACTGCTTTTCGCCCCTTCTCGCTGTTTGGGAATGCCAGCGGACCTCTCAGAGAGCAGAGACATGATGACATTCTAGGGTGGCATCGTCCAGAGAGGAAGGAGATTCCACACCAGGGTGGAGTTTCTGAAGAAAGTCCTTAGGGGGTGTTTGTGTCTGACTCAGGCGCCTGGCACATTTCAGGGAGAAACTCCAAAGTCCATGCAAAAATTTTCTGAGGAATGTACAAATTGAAAACATACTCAAAGGACAAACACTTGAGTTTTTAAAAAAAAAAAAAAAGAAAAAAAGGACAAAGATTTTTTTTAAGTTGTAAAATTCAAAACTCAAAGCAACTGTTACTACTGTACATTAGGATGTGTTTCATGAATATGAGTCTACCTCACCTTACTGCACTGTCATATATATTCCCTACTGTTATTATTCCCTACCTAATTATTGCCTCCCTGTACTCCCTCCTCTCCTGCCACCAGGCTCCCCATCCCCTTTACTGAATCCTCGCCTCATAGAAGTCTAGTCTAATGTGTCAGTCAGTAGTAGATGAAACATTTCCATGCTAATCTGCTAACCCTGATCTATGAGAAAAAGGATGACGGACTCTGGCCCCTGCCCTTGACCTTGGGAGATACAATGAATGGCATAGAGTTGCTTGTGAAAGATCTGGAGAGCTGGTTGTGCTATATAGCAGTAAAAGTTTGTTCCTGTATGTAACTGGCTAATGGAAAAGGTTAGATTGAATTTGATGTACTTATTTTTTTATAGATATTTATATTCAAACAATTTATTCCTTATATTTACCATGTTGAATATATGTCTGGGCAGGCCATATTGGTCTATGTATTTTTTTAAAATGTATTTCTGAATGAAATTGAGAACATGCTTTGTTTTGCCTGTCAAGGTAATGATTTTAGAAAATAAATATTTTTCCCTACTGTACTTACTTGTGAATTATTTCTGAAAACCTGAAGAAGTGATTATTCTGAAGGGAAATGGTTAAAGATGGCTTTCTAGGAAGGCTGAAATTAGAAAGAAAGTAGGATGTTGGCTTGACTTAAAAAGGAAACCTGATACGTTTCTTAAAAATTGCCTTTATGGATATTTGTCCTTGCAGGGTCATATAATAGGAAGGAAATAATTATAAAGAAGATATTTGATAGTTACTAATATATGCATTTGTACATAAAAATACTTTTGCACTGTGTTAAGGAACACAAAATAAAAGCTTTAAGCCCTGTCTTTGAATGGAGTGCAGCCTCTGCTTCTCCTTTACCTGAAGCTATCCCCAGGGAGCTCATCCATTACCCTTGCTTCTCCAGCCATTAGGCGGCAACCAACACTTAAGCTGATGGTGTGGTGAGAGGTGCTTTCTCCATAGTACCGGGCTGGAGGAAATGATGGAAAGATGATCTTACAACGAATGCACCTATACACAGCTCCTCACCCCAGGGGCTGCTATGAGAGCAAGGCCTGCTTGCTCCACGGAGGCTGCCAGTGCCTTTTATTCGCCCAGAGTAAGTATTTTGTTTATCGAGGAACACTGAGAACTGTTGTTTCTTCCAAGCGCAGGACTGGATGAGTGCCCCAGAAGTAAAGACACCAGGAGCTTATTTTAAGACACTACACTGCCTCCTCCCCCTACACTTTCTTTTCTCTGGCTTTGCCAACTACTGGCAGAAACAGTGTTGTAAATGGTCGTATCAGCAAAGACTCAGGAGCTTGATGGGCTTCTGGAGTCTTTGCCACCTTTCTCTGGTAGAGACTGAAGGAACGCCCAGAATTTAACAAACATTAGCTCTCAGTGATTACTGTCGTCCTAACAGTGACACCGTAGGAAGATGTCAAAAGACTGTCTTCTGGCCTGCATGGCCAACATCTTGGGCAGCTGACTGCAATTCCTTTTCATCCCCAATTAAATTATTAGCATTTTAAGCACAGTGTCTGGTATATAGGAGAAGTGTGTGTAGAGAGCTATTTTACTTCACCTAATGAATTGCTTGCTACTGTATGACTCTTGGGGGGCTCCTAAAGTCCCAGCTACTTCCACAAGGTACTTGGCTATAATTTCACATTGAGCAAACTCCCCAACCCTTTACCTCACAAACTCCCTCAACTACTCAATGAGAAAGACTGTGTAGAGGGAGGATCTTTCCCCTTCTTTTTTAATAGTTTAAAGAAAAAGTCAAAGACAAAGATGCTGAGGTGGTACCAAGAAAACTAAGGCCAGAGATTAGAGAACACAAGTCTAATGCATGTAAGAGGTAGCAGGGATGGGAGAAGCCGCTGAATAAAGCAGTTCAGAGAAGGCTGCAACTGGAGTGATGGGGTTGTCATTCTTAATATGTTCTTTTGCTCTATGATTAATGCTTCAGTAACTGGCAAGAAAGACGTGTAGCAGCTGCTCTCTGGGATGCAGCTCAGCAGCAAAAGAAGTTGGGAGGTTTGCAGGCAAACTCACACTTTTCAGGCACACAGAGAAAGTTTTGGACTTAGCAGTATTAAAACCCACGTAAGCATGAGAGCTGCCTAACAGGACGGTCAGTGGTGCTTCCTCCTGGTGTTCCAGAAAAAAAAAAAAAGCTTGCTTTCTGGCAGTGCACTCAGGACAGATTTATCTCTTCACTTTTAAGGACCCAACGGGGCTTTAATCTCAGGACTCCGAAGGAGAGCAGAGCCTGGGCAGGAAGTGGTGACCTTTGGCAGAGACTGGAGAGAGGATCCCACTAATGAGTACTTCGTTTTCTCCAGGGGTTAGCTTTTTTGGTGATGAAAACCCTTAGTTTTAATTCCACCTGTGTTTTTCCGAGTGCACCAATGCAGGGGAATTGTATTCAGCTAGAGATCCCTCGGAGAGAGACTTGCTAACATCACATTGGAGCATTTTTTTTTTCTTTGAAAGAAAAGAAAGCAAAGACCCAGAGGAGGAAGTCAACTAAAATCACACAGCAGCAAAGGCATTTCCAAAGCTCACAGACCTGAACACCAGAGTGGGGTTTTTCACCCAGAGGTCCCTGGAGGTCATTGGGAAGAGACACCCAAGAAAACCTTAGAAGGCGGTTGGGCGGGGAGGGGATAAAGGAGAGGGGAGTACAGAAGAGTCTCCAGGAAAGCCTCACCTCCCAGCCTCTCAGAGAAAGTTAGCCGACCCAGCTGGACCTGGGGCTCCCTGGTAGAGCATTTGCCTAGCTGCCACAGGCCCTGGACTGAATTCCTGGCTCTACAGAAAAAGGAAGCAAACCTGTGCCAGGAGATAGGGTAGGGTGGGGTGGGGCGGGGAGGACATTGAAGAAGGATATAAGTTTTATTGCATCATTAAATGAGTAGCTAGAGAAACTCTCAATTATCACTTTTAGATTTATTTATCAAATAAAACTCATATGTGAATGAAAAGGAATTCTTTTAGTGAGCTGGCAGTCACTCAACAATACAAGGCAGTGTTTATCTTCTTCCTGTGTCTAAAGCCTTCAAAGTACTGTTTTTAAGAACAAATTATCAATATATACAGCACCTTGTTCTCAGTGGAATTCATTCATTCCGGCATATGTAGTTCCTGGGCTCCTAGTCTGAAGTTCAGGGTACATTGCAGGGGACTCTCCATGGCCATCTAGATTTCACAGTCACTTAAATCTTTGTAGAGAATTTAGCTTCCCACAGCACTCTCACTTCCCTCTACCTGTGAGCCCACTTCCCACCACAATCCTTTCAGGAAGCTGGAACCATTATTCTAACTCCTTTGACAACCAAGGAAACAGACATATTGAACATGGGGTTGATTTATCCAAAGACCTAAGACAAACAGCAATAGTGGATCTCAGGTCTCAGGACCCTGGCTTTTTTTTTTTTTTTCCCTCGAGACAGGGTTTCTCCGTATTGTTTTGGAGCCTATCCTGGCACTCGCTCTGTAGACCAGGATGGCCTCAAACTCACAGAGATCCACCTCCTTCTGCCTCTTGAATGCTGGGATTAAATGCGTGCACCAGCAACGCCCGGCCAGATCCTTGCTTTTTTATATATCAAAAGAGGTTTCCTTATTCCTAAAGCAGGGAGAAAGTGAGGTCATGTCTGTTTTGTGAGTTTGCTGTCTGTGGAATTAGTTACTTGGAATTGCACACCTGGATCTTTCATTCTTAGCACTTTCCATCATTTGGTACTTCGTCTGCTACCTCATTCTCATCATTTCAAAGCAAGTGGGCAGAACATTTGCTGTTATAGGCAACATCCACCTCCAACTCTGGTGTCACAGAGGTCATTATCAACTATTGTGGTCCATGAAGCCAACACATGGAAGAAACTTCAGTGTTGAATACCATGGCTAGGATCACCATGTCACTTCAAATGCTAGGCAACAATGAGGCAAAGAGATAGGACTGGTACCTCTAGATAAAGCAAAGAGAAGGGATCAGAGGATGTGGCTACTGAATGATGGAAAGGATGCATTCCACCATGACAGGATACAGCCTTTCAGGAATCTGAAAGTACTTTTGCTAGCTTAGAACGTCCTGTTTTCTGTTTTCATATTCTGAGGAAGGCTAGGTCCCCTCTGCTCAAATTTCTGTGAAAGTGTTCAGAGATGTTATTTACAGTAGTAAGTTACCACTGGCACTGGGTTACCACAAATTTCAGGGCAGGTCCCAAGTGAACTCCAACTGGACTGGGTATGAAGTCTATTGCTTTTGGACTTTGAGGAGAGCATATGGTCTAGGGAAAGGGTTGGCCTCCATGTGAAATTTCTAGAATGCTTATTTCTATGACTATTGATCAACCAGGATGAAATAATTTCAAAATTTCACAAGGCATAGTAATCTGTTATGTCTCTGTGCATGCTATTGTCTTTTCGGGCATCGGCGAGTGGCAAACCACTGTCTTAGAGTTCAGAGACCCTTCAGCTTCATAGCTGCCCCTCTCACTGTGCTTGCTACTCTTGCTCATATTCTGGGATCCATTGGTGGAAGTAGAAATGTTGTGAGGTCTCCCTTTTGCTCCTTGGAAACTGTACTGGGTAGTTTGTGTGTCATCTTAACACAAGGTAGCATCATCAGAGGAAGGAGCCTCAGCTGAGGAAAGGCCACCATGAGACCCAGCTGTAAGGCATTTTCTCATTTAGTGATAAACTGGGGAGGGCCCAGCTCCCGGGTGGTGCCATCTCTGGGCTCCTGGTCCTGGGTTCTATAAGAAGGTGGGTTGAGCAAGCCATGGGAAGCAAACCAATAAGCAGCTTCTCTCCATGGTCTCTGCATCAGCTCCTGATTCCACGTTCCTGCCCTGTTTGAGTTCCTGTCCTGACTTCCTTCAGTAATGAAGAACAAT